GGGGATGTCTACCCTTGGTAGTTCCCGGATTAGACCCCTTTTGCCTTCAGAACTGCTTTAATCCTTCATGGCATTGATTCAACAAGCTACTGGAAATATTCCTCAGAGATTTTGCTCCATATTGTCATGATAGCATCACACAGTTGCTGCAGATTTGTCGCTGCACATCCATGATGCCAATCTCCCGTTCCACCACATCCCAAAGCTGCTCTATTGGATTGAGCTCTGGTGACTGTGGAGGCCATTTGAGTACAGTGAACTCATCGTCATGTTCAAGAAACCAGTCTGAGATGATTGAGCTTTATGACATGCTGCGTTATCCTGCTGGAAGTAGCCATCAGAAGATGGAGACACTGTGCTCATAAAGGGATGGACATGGTCAGCAGCAATACTCAGGTAGGCTGTGGCGTTGATGCTCAATTGGTACTAATGGAGCCAAAGAAAATCTCCCCCACACCATTACACCACCACCCCCAACCTGAACCGCTGATACAAGGCAGGATGATCCATGCTTTCATGTTGTTGAGGCCAAATTGTGAGCCGAGCATCCGAATGTGTCAGCAGAAATGGAGACTCATCAGAGCAGCAACGTTTCTCCAATCTTCTATTGTCCAGTTTTGGTGAGTCTGTGTGAATTGTAGCCTCAGTTTCCTGTTCTTAGCTGACAGGAGCGGCACCCGGTGTGCTCTTCTGCTGCTGTAGCCCATCCGCCTCAAGGTTGGACGTGTTGTGTGTTCAGAGATGCTCTTCTGCAGAGCTCGGTTGTAGCGAGTGCTTATTTGAGTTACTGTTGCCTTTCTATCAGCTGGAACCAGTCTGGCCATTCTCCTCTGACCTCTGGCCTCATCAACAAGGCATTTGCGCACACAGAACTGCCGCTCACTGGATATTTCCTCGTTCTCTGTAAACCCTAGAGATGGTTGTGCGTGAAAATCCCAGTAGATCAGCAGTTTCTGAAATACTCAAAGCAGCCCGTCTGGCAGCAACAACCATGCCACGTTCAAAGTCACTTAAATCCCCTTTCTTCCACATTCTGATGCTCGCTCTGAACTGCAGCAGATCGTCTTGACCATGTCTACATGCCGAAATGCAGTGAGATGTGATCATACTGATTAGAAATTTGCTTTAGCAATCAGTTGGACAGGTGTACCTAATAAAGTGGCCGTGTGAGTGAATGTGTACATGCTTAATGAAGTGTGTTTTATGCCATATGCATGGGTGCTTTAAAAATCCTCATACAGTCACAGCCCTTAAACACACACGTGCAGATTTAAATTTTGAATTCATTGAATGAACACATTACGATATTCATGCTAACACTATATATTGTGCAGCCCTAATGTGGATTGTATTATGGTGAACACAGTACCGCTGTGCTGTATAGAGGCTGGAGTGTATATTTTGTTAGCTGAACTTTACCAAGGATGTGGTTTTGAGTCTCAGTAGTGCGCAGGAAGAGGAAGAGGCCTGAGCTTCTGTGGAAACACGTGATCTACAACACTACTCTGTAATATCTGCTAATGAACTGTGTGTGTGTTTTGGGTTTCTTTGTGGTGGTGAATTGCATTCACTTCTGATGATGAACATTTGAAAACAGCTAAAATTAATTGTATTATTGGTATTTTTGATAGTTTGAAGTGATCTATTGTATGTTTTAGTCTTGTAAATGACTCTATAAGATCCTGGTAATGAGCTGCAAGTGCTTTTCCCTGCTGCTCTGCATTCCCACACCTTGATTAAAGGGTCAGTTCACCCAAAAATTAAGGGTGCTTTCACACCTACACTTTTGTTTGGAAACCGGTCTCGTTTGCCTAGTTAGCGCGGTTCGTTTGGCATATGTGAAACCACCAATCGATCTCGCATCCGCACCAAGTCATTGAATGGATGAATGAATTAATAAATGATTGAGTCTTTGAATTAATAAAGGAGTCACTGAATTAATGAAATTATAGAATGAATGAATTAATGAATGTGTCATTAAAAGAATAAATGAGTCACTGAATGAATGAATCATTAAAAAAGTGAGTGAGTCATTGAATGAATGAACAAATGAATTAGTCATTAAATGAATAAATGAATCCTTAAATGAATGAATTAATGTATAAATAATTAATCGCTCTGAGATCGCTTGAATGAGGTGGTCTTGGCTCGATTGAAACGAACTCTGGAGCGGATCGATTGCAGTGAGAAAGCGATACGATCTGAGCGCGGTTATATCACAGTGTTTTATGGATATGTAATAGGCATCCGGCTATATGAAGAGAGAATTATGAGTATGGCGGGAAGTTTCGCGAGTCTCCGGATGCCCGCAAACGAATGATGATCCCCCGGTAATCTCGAAACGCACCCTAAGACTTCTCATGGTTCACTCATATTTACTTTAATTTAAAGTCTAGTATTTAAGGGTGCGTTCACACCTGTGAATAGATTCAGTTGTTCTGAAACAGAGATGACAGTTGTTACATTGTTGCTCTTTGCTCTTGGAGCGGTTCGCTTTCACACTGCACAGTTTCTAATCGGACCAAAAGAGCTAAAACAAGTCACGTGTGAGTAAACTCTCCTCACATTGGTCAGAGTGTCAGGGTTTATTTAGCAGAGCTCAGCTGTCAGGAGAGGTGGTGGTTTGGTGGTGTTTGACAAGGTGTGCGCGACGTGTCTGAGGAGAGATGTGGTGGGGAGGGGTGAGAAGGGTGCGCGACGTAGCTTATTTGAGGACCGGGAGGGAGATGCGAGATTACCGGGAGATCATCATTCGTTTGTGGGCATCCGGAGACTCGCGAAATTTCCCGCCCTACTCATAATTCTCTCTTCATATAGCCGTATGCCTATTACATATCCATAAAACACTGTGATATAACCGCGCTCGCATCGTATCGCTTTCTCACTGCAATCAATCCGCTCCAGGGTTTGTTTTAATCGAGCCGAGACCACCTCATTCCAGCGATCTCGGAGCGATTACTTTGGCGCGGAACAGAGCGCGATTGCCCTGTTTACATATGCCATACGAACCGCGCTAACTGGGCAAACGAGATACGTTCCGAAACAAAAGTGTAGGTGTGAAAGCACCCTAAATTAAAAATGATTTTAAAGTGCAAAGCTATAATAAAATTGCTTCACATGCACAAATGCGATACTATTCTCCTAATTCAGATTATGTATTAGCCACACTGTAAAAAATTGTATGTTAATTAACATTTTGTTTTCTGAAGTATGTTTGTTTATGCTTTTGAATTGCATTATGGGAGCTTGATCTCAGCTATGAAAACGTCTGATGACGAAAATTTTGAAAACAACATTAATTATTGGTATTTTTTATAGTTTGAAGTGAATTTAAACTATTGAATTCAAGACTATTGTATGTTTTAGTCTTGTAAATGACTCTATAAGATCCTGGTAATGAGCTGCAAGGGTTTTTTCCTGCTGCTCTGCATTCCCACACCTTGATTAAAGGGTCAGTTCACTTAAAATGTAAGTGAACATTTACTCTTCATTTACTCTGACTTAAGTTGTTGTACACTTTTATGCGTTTCATTGTTCTGTCGAACACAAAAGAAGATATTGTGAAGAATGCTGGAAAAACGCAGCCATTGACATGTAAATAGTAGGATCAAGAAATGCTGATTGTTTGTTCAGCAGTCTTCAGTATATCTCCCTTTGTTTTCAAAATCATTCACCCCCTGTCCTGTGTATCTCTTATTATTTTTGAAATGTTTCTCAGGTGATGTTTAACCAAGCAAGGACGTTGTCATAGCATTATATTTGGTCTGTAATAGGGTTGGGCCGATAGATGATGCCATAGTCCATCGCTGATGGCCAATAGACAACACAATGCTAAGCCGGCATCACCGATCCTCCGCCCCGCCCCCGTCGCAAACCCACTTAGTGTTAAAATGCCATTTCTGGACAAAAATGATCCACATCCACACCGTGTTTTACCTAGCATTACTGAACAGACCTCCGTCTGCCGAATACGCACATCACGTGACCACACACACACAAGAGGTGCTCACTGCAGAGCCACACACACACACACATGAATGTTTGTGAGTGAGTCAATGAATGAATGAATGAATGAATGAATGAATGAGTCATTGAGTGAATGTATGAATGAACGAACGAACAAATGAACGAACGAACTAATTAATTAAAATTAATTAATTAGTCATTGAGTGAATGAATGAATGAATGTGTAATTTAATTAATGAAATTATAGAATGAATGAATCAATGAATGTGTCATTAAAAAATATAGGAGTCATTGAATGAATGAACGAATGATTGAATAAATGAGTCATTAAATAAATGAGTCATTGAATGAGTGAGTGAGTGAGTGAGTGAGTCATTGAATGAATAAGTCATTGAATAAATGAACAAATGAATAAATGAATGAGTAATTGAATGGATGAAGGAATAAATGAGTCATTGAATGAATGAGTGAGTGAGTCAGTCAGTCATGGAATGAATAAGTCATTGATTAAATGAATAAATGAATGAGTCATTGAATGGATGAATGATTGAATGAATAAATGAGTCATTGATTGAATGAGTGAGTGAGTGAGTGAGTCATTGAATGAATAAGTCATCGCATAAATGAACAAATGAATAAATGAGTGAGTCATTGAGAGGATGAAGGAATGATTGAATAAATAAATGAGTCATTGAATAAATGAGTCATTGAATGAATGAGTGAGTGAGTCAGTCAGTCATGGAATGAATAAGTCATTGAATGAATGAACAAATGAATGAATAAATGAATCAATCAATCAATCCACACACTGTCATGTGCATGTAAATCGGGTATTGAAACTATTCTGATTGAAAATGTTTTAAAACAAGACATCAGTGTAATGATTGCTATTGGTTGCTTGTTTACTAAGCAGTTATGATCAGATATGATGTGTAAATGTGAGCGATGCTTGAAAATAAGTGCAGAAATGAACAGAGTAAGCGATGAAAGAATTTTAACCTCCATTTAAACCTCTGTTTTGTCTCTTCCAGCAGTTGATGGGCCTTGCTTACAAATCACAGAACAACCAAAACAGGTAAAGCTCATCAGATGCTTCTCAATAAATAGTTTCATGTAGTCGAATACTTTCTCTGCAGAAATGCTCTCCAGAAATCATGGTTGGCTTGAAGAGATGGTTCAAATATTGGATTAGACTAGAACAAGATTTATTAAATGTGTTCAGTGCTAATTTTATGATTTTCCACATGTGTTTATTAACTGTAATATATGTCTATAGTAATATTGTATAGCATGGGTGAGTGAGTGAGTCATCGAATGAGTCCCTGAATTAATGAAAAGATGAATGATTGAGCCATTGAATGAATACATGAGTGAGTAATTGAATGCACGAATAAATTAATAATTGAGCCATTGAATGAATGAATAAGTGAGTGAGTGAGTCATCGAATGAGTCACTGAATTAATGAAAAGATGAATAATTGAGCCATTGAATGAATGAATGAATGAATGAGTAAGTGAGTAATTGAATGCACGGATAAATTAATAATTGAGCCATTGAATGAATGAATAAGTGAGTAAGTGAGTCACCGAATGAGTCCCTGAATTAATGAAAAGATGAATGATTGAGCCATTGAATAAATGAATGAATGAATAAGTGAGTAATTGAATGCACGAATAAATTAATGATTGAGCCATTGAATGAATGAATAAGTGAGTGAGTGAGTCATCGAATGAGTCACTGAATTAATGAAAAGATGAATGATTGAGCCATTGAATAAATGAATGAACGAGTAAGTGAGTAATTGAATGCACGAATAAATTAATGATTGGGCCATTGAATAAATGAATAAGTAAGTGAGTGGGTCATCGAATGAATGAATGAATGAGCCATTGAATGAATAAACGAGTGAGCGAGAGAGTCATTGAATGAACGAATAAATTAATGGTTAAGCCAATGAATGAATGAATAAGTGAGTGAGTGGGTCGTCGAATGAATGAATGAATGAATGAATGAGCCATTGAATGAATAAATGAGTGGGTGAGAGAGTAATTGAATGAACGAATGAATGAATGAACGAATAAATTAATGGTTGAGCCAATGAATGAATGATTAGTGAGTGATTTAGTCATGAATGAATGAATTAATTAATTAATTAGTCATTGAGTGAAAGAATGAATGAATGTGTAATTGAATTAATGAAATTGTAGAATATATGAATCAATGAATGTGTCATTACAAGAATAAAGAAGTCATTGAATGAATGAACAAATGATTAAATGAATGAGTCACTGAATAAATGAGTCATTGAATGAGTAAGTCATTGAATTTATGAACAAATGAATGAATAAGTCATTGAATGAATGAACAAGTGAATAAATGAGTCATTGAATAAATAATTGAATGAATGTGTCATTGGATGGATGAAAGAATGAATGAATGAATGAACAAACGAAACAACAAATGAACGAATCATTGAATTAATAAACGAGTCACTGAATTAATGAAATTATAGAATGAATGAATCAATGAATGTGTCATTAAAAGAATGAATGAGTCATTGAATGAATGAATAAACAAGTGAATAAATGAGTCATTGTGTAAATAAGTGAATGAACGAGTCATTGAATGAATGAATGAATGAATGAGTCATTGAATTAATAAAAGAGTCACTGAATGATGAAATTATAGAATGAATGAATCAATGAATGTGTCATTAAAATGTGTCATTAAAAGAATAAATGAATGAATAAACATGTGAATAAATGAGTCATTGAATAAATAATTGAATGAATGAGTCATTGAATGGATGAATGAATTAATAAATGATTGAGTCTTTGAATTAATAAATGAGTCACTGCATTAAGGAAATTATAGAATGAATGAATTAATGAATGTGTCATTAAAAGAATCATTAAATGAATGAACAAATTATTGAATAAATGAGTCATTTAATGAATGAGTCATTGAATTAATAAACGAGTCACTGAATGAATGAATCATTGAATGAATAAATGAGTGAGTCATTGAATAAATTAACAAATGAATGAGTCATTAAATGAATGAGTGAAATAATTAATTAATTAAGTAATAATTGAGCCATTGAATGAATGTATGAGTGAGTCATTAAATGAATGAATGAATGAATGAGTCATTGATTGAATGAATGTTTAATTGAATTAATGAAGTTATTAAATGAAAGAATCAATGAATGTGTCATTGAAAGAATAAAGGAATCATTGAATGAATGAACGAATGATTGAATGAATGAATGAGTCATTAAATGAATGAGTCATTGAATGAATGGGTGAGTGAGTGAGTCATTGAATGAATAAGTCATTGAACAAATGAATGGATGAGTCATTGAATTAATAAATGAGTCACTGAATGAATGAATCATTAAATAAGTGAGTGAGTCATTGAATGAATGAACAAATTAATTAGTCATTGAATGAATTGAATCGTTGAATGAATTAATGTATAATTAATTAAATAAAGGATTCATTAAATGAATTAATGAATGAATGAATTAATGAATAAGTCATTAAATAAATAAATCATTAAATGAATCTATAAGTGAGTCATCATTGGATGCACGAATGAATGAGTCAATGACTGAATAAGTCATTAAGGGTGCTTTCACACTTGGTTCATTTGCCTGGACCGTACCCAAGTTCGATTGTCTCCCCCTGCCACCTCCTCGGTTGGTTTGAGTTCATACTGTCTTTTTTCCTTCTGAACCCCGGTACGCTTGCATCATCGAGCTGCTGTTTTGTTTACGGCTGCTGCTAGGTGACGGTCACGAAAGCAAGTGCCGAAATGAAAGACGTCTGCACATCGCGGTCATTCTGCTTTAACTGAAGCTTTTGATTTTGGACATACAGAAAGCGACTCGCGTCTATCTGCCGCAAACATATTATAAACATTCAGAACATCACACAGCGTCTGCAGGAGCTGTTTTTGGAGGAGACAAGCAGACATCACTGTGTATCACTGTGTTTGCCCTGGCTCAGTCCCGCGCATGTCACCAAGATACGAAACGTGACACACACAAACACGAACGAACGTTATGAAAACGATAGTTTGTTGTACAGTTGGCGGTGCACTTCCGTGATTTGGTATGATTGCATTCACATCAGAAGTGAACCGTACCAGAGTTCGCATAAACTGTACCCCAGACCACCTCTTTCAGGCGGACTCAAGTACGGTTCACAGGTGCGCACCTGAGTTCAGAAGACACGTTCACACTAGCTAAACGTACCATACTATGACGTCAAACGAACCCGGGTGCGGACCAAAAGTGCTAGTATGAAAGCACCCTAAATGAATGAATAAATGAATGAATGTGTGATTTACTGAATGAATGAGTCATTGAACGAGTAAATGAGTTGATGAATGAGTGAATGATTAAATGAATGAGTCAATCAATAACAAACTAAATAAATCAGCAGATCAATAAGTAAATGAATCAGCTCCATAACATGAGAAGAATAAAATAAGTAAAGAGCAGCAAAGTAAAAACACACAGTGGTTAAACATGTCTAGCTGTGTAACATATCCTGCTTTCTGGAACCCTCTGATGTGTTAATCTGAACTCACTATATCAGCTCAACAGTAAACCTGAGTTCTCTTCTCTGCAGAGGGGCTTCAGGTTCCGCTATGGGTGTGAGGGCCCGTCTCACGGAGGGCTTCCAGGGGCCTCCAGCGAGAAGAACCGCAAGTCCTACCCACAAGTGCAGGTAAAGTTTTTAATTATATATTTGTATTTAACATTTATAAGATTTGTCGACGTTTATGTTTTCACTATTTCTCTTCCTTTTTTTTTTTTTGTTTTATTTAATATTTACAATTTTAATATTTTAATATATACAATTTTATTTAATATTTTTCACTAACATGTTAATTTGTGTGTATAATTATTGACCTGTGATCTTCAAGCTGCTGACTAATCTAATGTACATGCTAGGGATGCACCGATATGGATTTTTTTTTCGCCGATATCGATAACCGGTAACTCTTAAGATTTAGAGGCTGATAGCCGATATACTATAGCTGATAATATAAATATTTCAAATTGTCATAATTTTTTACAGTAAACAACTGATTTTATTTTAAAAGCTTTATAAAGGTTTGAACTGCTCTTATGAACTGAATAGTCTATACTCAAAGCAAAAACAGCAATAATTTGAGAATTATATAGATTATATAGACTTATATTGATGATCATTTGTAGTATACCAACAATAAAGTATTCCCTTTTCTTCATAGCGAATTAACATGCAGCTTGACTATAGAAAAATAAGTAGGCTATAAAAATAATAGGTTAAATAACATAACGGCTCTTAATTAGCAAACAAGTTTAATAAATGTCTCAAGTAAAATAAAAATGAAAGAACTGAAGGTCTGAAACCAGCTCAAATGTTCTTGACTAAAACGTGCTACAGTAATGTACACATGTAAAAATATACTATGTCCGAAAAGACGTTTTAAGAGGTGTTTTGACTGTTCAGAGTCACCGAACAAGTGAAAAGCTGAATACAGATAGTTTTACTTCAGAAAATGCGGCATAAATTCATCCTGTTTGGCGTTTTAGACTCTTTTGAACACATGGCTGCTGCTTGTCAATCAGACAGCGCTTCTGTGTTCGTTCTTGCTGTCAATTGCAGGAAAAAGTTTACGATAAACCGCTGTGAGCTTGAAACTAACTGAAGGCGCTGCGTGACGAAGCGGAGTCAGATTAGTGCTCAACTCAGAGTTTGATACAACACCTGAGCATTGAGCACAGATGACTTTATGACAATTACACAGCATAATATAAAGACGGAATGTGGCGGAGCGTTGAGAACCTATGCTGGATGCAGTGACTGGCGCACCTCTCCCCGGTGCTGCTGTGAAGGCTCTGTCGGCTCACTATGTGTGTGTGCGCTTGGTAATGGCTATCACGAGCGCTCCTTATAATCATTATAAATATTCCGGTCAAACTGAATACAATCTTACATCAACAACACATGGCAAGCAACGCGCTGATAATACCAAATAATCATATTAGATCACAAACAACTCAACAAGCCGTTTAGCATCGCTGCTGTGATGTTTACACATGTAATATTTTTCCGCGGTATACAAAATACACAATGACACTCCATCAAACATATGTAAATGTAATGTAATGTGTATTTATATAGCGCATTTATTGTATTTGGCCATACACCCAAAACGCTTCACAATCATGAGGGGGGTCTCTCCACACCACCATCAGTGTGCAGCTCCACTTGGAGGATGCTCCGGCAGCCACAGGACAACAGCACCAGTGCTTCACCACACACCAGCTATAGGTGGAGTGGAGAGACAGTGATGGAGCCAATTCAGTGGATGGGGATGATTGGGAGGCCATGATCATAAGGGCCGATTGAGCAACAGGACACCGGGGTTACACCCCTACTCTTCACCAGAAGTGCCTTGGGGTAATTAATGAGCACAGAGAGTCAGGACCTCGGTTCAACATCTCATCTGAAAGACTCACTGAGCAGTATACTGGGGCATTAGGACTCACACAGACTGCAGGTTGAGCGCCCCCTGCTGGCTTCACTAACACCACTTCCAACAGCAGCCTAGCGTTCCCAAGTGGTCTCCCATCCAGATACTGACCAGACTCAGCCCAGCTTCAGTGAGGGAGCGCTGTTAGGGCCGCAGGGTGATCTGGCTGTGGCCATAGAAAGAAAAAGAGAGAGGAAAAAGAATGAAAGATTGAAAGAGAGTTTAAAAGTGAGAAGGAAAGTACGAGACACGTGAGAGAGAAAGAAAAAAGATTGAAAGGGAGCAAGAGAGAGAGAGAAAGAAAAAGCGAGAAGGAATGAAAGAGAGAGAGAGAGAGAGAGAGAGAGAGAGTGTTGTCATGTCTCTCTGTGTGGTGCAGTTGCAGCTGTGATCATCATCATCATCATCATCATCAGCTGCTGGGCTTCTGTACACCTGCAGCTCTGAACTGCTCATATCAGCGGAGGAGCGACTGAAGAGGAGAGAGAGAGAGACAGAGAGAGAGAGAGAGAGAGAGACAGAGAGAGAGAGAGAGAGAGACAGAGAGAGAGAGAGAGAGAGAGAGAGAGACAGAGAGAGAGAGAGAGACAGAGAGAGAGAGAGAGAGAGAGAGAGAGAGAGAGACAGAGAGAGAGAGAGAGAGAGCATCGTGTGTGTGTGTGCGCGCGTTTGGGAATTTCCTCGGTGTGTCATAGGGGTAATTAGTGGGAAAACTCGTCAGAGATGAGAAACGAGCCGTGCAGCGACTCGCCAACACTCGTCCCACACAAACACACATTAAAGAGCTCTGCGTGCGCGCATGCTTGTGTGTGTGAGTCTGTGCTCGCGTGAGCGCTCCTGTGTCCACGCATGTGAGTGATTGTGTATGTGCGTCTTTCTGTGTGTGTGTGTGTGTGTGTGTGTGTGTGTGTGTGTGTGTGTGTGAGCATTCCAGTGTGTGCTTGTGTCTAAGTGTGCGACTGTGCATGCATGTATGGGTTTGTGTGTGTGTGCTTTTGTGTAAGTGCTTGTGCATGTGTGTATATATATATATATATGTAAATGTGTGTGTTTGTGTGTGTGTGTGTATGTGTACATTTGTGATTGTTCCTGCATTTGTGTGCGCAAGTGTGTACATGTGTTTTTGCGTGTGTACATACATGATCGCAAGTGCATGTGTGTTTGTGTGTGTCTGTGTGAGTGTGTGTCTGTGTGTATGTGCATTTGTGTGTGCGTGTATGTGTGTGTGTGTGTGCTTTTGTGTAAGTGCTTGTGCATGTATATGAGTGTGTGTCTGTGTGTATGTGCATTTGTGTGCGTAAGTCTGCTTGTGTGTGTGTGTGTGTGTGTGTGTGTGTGTGTGTGTGTGTGTGTGTGTGTGTGTGTGTGTGTGTGTATGTATGTGTGTGCACACTTGTGATTGTGCCTGCGTTTGTGTGCGCAAGTGTGTACATGTGTTTTTGCATGTGTACATACATGATTGTAAGCACAAGTGTGTATGTGTGTTTGTGTGTGTGAGTGCTTGTGTGTGTTCTAGTGTATGTTTTGTGTGAGTGTGTGTGTGTGTGTGTGTGTGTGTGTGTGTGTGTGTGTGTGTGCTTTACAAGTTGCTCTTCAGTAGTTTCTGATAGCTGATCAGCAGCCGGATCATTTCTGCCTTCAGATTATTGTGTATTATTATGATGATGATTATTGATCAGCATCTATGAACAGACAGACACTCCACCTGCTCAACAGGCCTGTATTCTCCACATGTCTGCCCTCACGTGTGATCTGCTCTTCAGATGATCTTCATATTCTCTGATCTTCAGTCTGCCTGTGATATTAGCGTTTGTGACTCATTTGAGCTAAGAGAAAGTAAAGCGGTGAAACCACAGAAGCAGAATATCAGCCAATGACACACTGCTTTATTATTCATCTCAGGAGGCACTAATCACACACACACTTCTGTTTCCAGCTCAACTCTGAACTCTGCTCATTCTTAATTATTGCTTTTTATTTGACTTTATTTATCACAAGAAACTAAATTACTTTTGCTTATAAAAGTTTATTTGCCTACTGTATATACACTCACTGGCCACTTTATTAGGTACACTTCACTAGTACCAGGTTGGACCCCTTTTGCCTTCAGAACTGCTTTAATCCGTCATGGCGTAGATTCAACAAGATACTGGAAATATTCCTCAGAGATTTTGCTCCATATTGTCATGATAGCATCACACAGTTGCTGCAGATTTGTCGGCTGCACATCCATGATGCCAACCTCCTGTTCCACCACATCCCAAAGCTGCTCTATTGGATTGAGCTCTGGTGACTGTGGAGGCCATTTGAGTACAGTGAACTCATCGTCATGTTCAAGAAAGCAGTCTGAGCTGATTGAGCTTTATGACATGCTGCGTTATCCTGCTGGAAGTAGCCATCAGAAGATGGAGACACTGTGCTCATAAAGGGATGGACATGGTCAGCAGCAATACTCAGGTAGGCTGTGGCGTTGATGCTCAATTGGTACTAATGGAGCCAAAGAAAATCTCCCCCACACCATTACACCACCACCAGCCTGAACCGCTGATACAAGGCAGGATGATCCATGCTTTCATGTTGTTGAGGCCAAATTGTGAGCCGAGCATCCGAATGTGTCAGCAGAAATGGAGACTCATCAGAGCAGCAACGTTTCTCCAATCTTCTATTGTCCAGTTTTGGTGAGTCTGTGTGAATTGTAGCCTCAGTTTCCTGTTCTTAGCTGACAGGAGCGGCACCCGGTGTGCTCTTCTGCTGCTGTAGCCCATCCGCCTCAAGGTTGGACGTGTTGTGTGTTCAGAGATGCTCTTCTGCAGAGCTCGGTTGTAACGAGTGCTTATTTGAGTTACTGTTGCCTTTCTATCAGCTGGAACCAGTCTGGCCATTCTCCTCTGACCATCAACAAGGCATTTGCGCCCACAGAACTGCCGCTCACTGGATATTTCCTCTCTGTCGGAGCATTCTCTGTAAAGCCTAGAGATGGTTGTGAGTGAAAATCCCAGTAGATCAGCAGTTTCTGAAATACTCAGAGCAGCCCGTCTGACAGCAACAACCATGCCACGGTCAAAGTCCCTTAAATCCTCTTTCTTCCCCATTCTGAATCTCAATTTGTACTGCAGCAGATCGTCTTGACCATGTCTACATGTCGAAATGCAGTGAGCTGCAGCATGTGATTGGCTGATGTGAAATTTGCGTTAACAAGCAGTTGGACACGTGTACCTAATAAAGTGGCCGATGAGTGTATAGTTTGTAGCATTTCTATTCATAAAGTGTCTCTCTTCAAAAACGTTGCTACATTAAAAACATCTTATTTTCAGCAGATAATTAGAATTTTCATTCCTTTCGTTGCTTTATTTTTACTATTATTGTTATTATTAATCATCTTTTCTTCTTTTCTTTGCTGTCGTCATCTTCTTCGTTTTAAGAACAGTCAGATCATGTGGTGGAAAACTCCACAGAAGCTCCGCTCATTTTCCCTATGCATTCTGGGATTCCCCCAATGAAAGCACACTAGTAGAGCTGTGACGCTTCTGTGCTGTTAGTGCTTTTGCAGAACTGAAACTCAGCATATATTGACTGTATGAGTAATAGCTGTACTATAGTATTGTTTGTTGAATAATACTAAAACTGTATATAACAGTACATCAATGAGTAGGATAGATGAGGATAATTATGTTCATTCATTCATTTATGTGAATTTAAATTGATCAGGATTTTGAGTTATTCAATAACATTGTTTTACATGGGAATATGATATTAATAATATTTTATATACTTATAATGAAATAATTCAAAGATTATTATTATTCATTTGTTATTGACAATTTTTTTTTGCTGATTTAAATCTGGGAATAACGAGACATTATTGATCACCATTGTGTGTGTGTGCGTGCGTGCGTGTGTGTGTCTGTGTGTGTGTGTCTGCGTGTGTGTGTCTGTGTGTGTGTGGTCAGATCTGTAATTATCAGGGCCCTGCTCGTGTGGTGGTCCAGCTGGTGACCAACTCTCAGCATCCGCATCTTCACGCTCACAGTCTGGTGGGAAAACAGTGTGATAAAGGCATCTGCATCTCCGACATGCAGCCCAAAGACTCCAGCATCAGGTCACACACACACACACACACACTACTGTATCACACAATTACACACTTTATAATGTCACACTGTACTATATTACACAATTACTCACTTTACAATGTTTATTTGTAATCTATCCATCTATCTATCTATCTATCTATCTATCTATCTATCTATCTATCTATCTATCTATCTATCCATCTATCTATCCATCCATCCATCCATCCATCCATCCATCCATCCATCCATCCATCCATCCATCCATCCATCCATCCATCCATCCATCCATCCATCCATCTATCTATCTATCTATCTATCTATCATCTATCTATCATCTATCTATCTATCTATATATCTATCTATCATCTATCTATCTATCTATCTATCTATCTATCTATCTATCTATCTATCTATCTATCATCTATCTATCTATCTATCTATCTATCTATCTATCTATCTATCTATCTATCTATCATCTATCTATCATCTATCTATCTATCTATCTATCTATCTATCTATCTATCTATCTATCTATCTATCTATCTATCTATCTATCTATCTATCTATCTATCTATCTATCTATCTATCTATCTATCTATCTATCCATCCATCCATCCATCCATCCATCCACCATTCTATCATTTAATCCTTCCCTCCACCATTCCCTCCATCATTCCACAATTCCATCCCTTCATTTCATCCAACCTTTATTCCATCATTTAATAATTCCATCTATCATTTCATTCTTCCCTCCTGCCATCCATCATTCCGTTTATCCATCCATTATTCTAATCTGTCCTTCCGACAGTTCGTCTAACGATCTATCTATTGCTCTATCCTTCCGTCTGTCTATCCATCCATCCATCCATCAATTCATCCATCTATGTCCATCCGTTCATCCGTCCATCCGTCCGTCCATCCATTCATCCATCCTTTAAAAATCCCCCTATATTAAACAAACATAATAAACTTTTAGGACACACGCCCCCCCCCCCCCAAGTTTGTCCAAATTCACTCACGCCCCAGCAGGCACCCCTCCCTCGAGACAAAGTTATAGTGCATGTGCAAACATCATTCATATATTATTTACTGCGTTTAAAGTAGCGTGCGTAGAATTAATTAAATTGAAACATAAATACCTCACCTGAGTCAGTGTGATGGCTGAGCCTGTTTCTGTGAGGACAACATGCTAGTCTGTGGTTGGATTCCTGACACGACTTACTGAAATAATCTTCCGCAGTCAATAAGAGTGAGCCACTTGCTTTTGATGTACGTACAAACAGAAAATGCGGCTTCGCAAAGCTAAGATCACAAAGCCCTGACGGTGTGGTTGAGTCGAACATTGAGTATGTTTACATGGGCAACAATACTTTAATATGATTAAGACAATACTCTGATTAGAGTCTACCATGTAAACAGCCATTTCTGATCACCTCAATTTGACTAAAGTCATAACTGAACTAAACAGAAATGGAGTAAAGACATGTGGAGACTGCAGATATTAGTGGATTTGTTGAGATAAACTCTGCAATCTAACAATTACCATCATGTAGGACTTTTCGCTGCATTTTGTGGCAAGATCCACACACATACGGCGGTCAGTAAAGGGCTGCGCACACACATACCTACACACACACACACACACACACAGACACACACACACGTTTGTTTTTGTAAAAAGTGGGTACATTGTATAGGTTTGCATTCATTTTATACTGTCCATTTAATACACAAGAGTGAAGAGGCTGTATGAGTGCTGATATTGCACGCATGTAATTTACTATGATATAGTTTAAAGTAATCTAATTTTTTTTTATCTAAATCTAATATTGAATTTTGGCACACGTCTAGTCATGACATTAGTGTTGAATGTTTGTTTGCGTGTGTTTGACAGTTTCCCTAATTTGGGCATCCTGCACGTGACCAAGAAGAACGTGAGTAAAGTGTTGGAGGAGCGCATGATGGAGGCCTACAGGATGGGTTACAATTACGGCATCTTCATCCACCCGGAAATCGACGCCTTGCAGGGAGAAGTGCGCATGCCCAGAGAACTCAACGGTACAGTGGAAAACACTCACACACACACATCACAAGGATAAAAAAACATGAGGAACACATTAAACAGTGTGTGTTGCATTGTCAGCAATGAAATACAAGTCAATTTAGATACCACTGCTTTCTTTTTTATTTGTGTTTTCCATACTGTCCTGACTTTTCCTGATTCTGGGTTGTGTGTGAATGTATGTATGTATGTATGTATGTATATATATATATATATATATATATATATATATATATACATATATATATATACATATATATCTGTGTGTGTTCAGAGGCTGAGAGGAGTCTGATCAGCAGTGCAGCGTCTCAGCAGGCGAAGGAGATGGACCTCAGTGTGGTTCGGCTGATGTTCACTGCGTTCCTGCCTGACAGTGATGGAGGATTCTCACGCAGACTGGAGCCCGTCATCTCAGAGCCCATATATGACAGCAGTGAGTGACACTACATTACACTACACAACACTACTAAGGGTGTCACGATCCTCCAAATCCTTGATTCGATTACATTTTCAATTCTAAAGTCACGATTCGATTTTCGATTATGAATAATTAATTAATAACGAATTAATTATTTGTAGCCTACCGTTTAAACTACCTGACCTGCATGGTCTTTGTTTTACCCATAAACAAATCATACAGTAAATGAATAAAGGCAAGACACACACATAATTACCACCTGTCAATCACTTTTTCTGCGGGACTCGTGAATAGGCAGTGATCTGTGTCGTTATAATGGCGTCGGTAAAAAAGACGCACAACCAACAGGAACCAGCCAACAGTATCTGAGGTGTTCGCTAAAATGACTCAGTACAAGTGAGTGAAAGATTGAAGCAGTCCTCTGACTGCCTGGACCTGCTGTCTCGAGCGCATGGCTGTGTGTGCGTCTGTGTGTGTGTGGTCACGTGATGTGCATTTTCAGAGGTAGAGAGGAAGGAGGGCTGCTCAGAAATGCTACACGCCACTGTGGATGTCAAATCGTTGTCGTTCTAAAATGCCATTTAAAAACAAAGACAGTGTAAACAGGGCCTGAGTGTGAACTTTTTGCGAGCGGATTTGCAACAGGGCGGGCGGAGGATCGAGATGCTGGTGTTGTCTATCGGACGAACCGTACGTAATACGTACATAGCAGAGCTTGCAAAACTGTGTTTTTTTTTTGTCGACAACACGAACGTTGTCAACATAACTTACTGGAAATCCAAAATACTTCCACACCGGCGACTTCATAGAAAGAGGAGAGGGTTTAAGTTCTGTCGACGGGTCTCCTGCGTCTGCAGTTCAACTAGCCTGTTTTTTTCCCGCTTGGCAAGCCAAGCTGACGTGACATGGGGGCGTGGCAGCATCGACGATTCTATTTTTTGATTCGATAATCGAAATTGAGTATAAATTTAGATCGATTTCGTTTATAAATCAAAATCGTGACACCCCTGAACACTACACAACTCAACATTACATTAAGCTGGAGCCTGTCATCTCAGAGCCTGTATACAACAGCAGTGAGTTACACTACACTAGACTACATGTTCCATGAAGAAGTCCCTACACACAACTTTATTCTCTTTCCCAAATGGAAAACCAGCAACTATCAACAATGCATGACTATCTGCTGTCATGGAGCAGTTTGCAATCAATAAATGTGTTTATAATGGAAGTCAATGGGGCAAAAACAGCACCAACATAACCAAAGGGGAGTTGATTCACAGAGAGTGTATGGTTGAGATTATGAAAACTTCCAAAGTTTTATCCTAAAATATGTGTCAGAGTAAGATTTGTCAGCAGAAATCATCACATTTGCTGAAACACAGAGAAAGATGTGGGCAAATTTGGTCTCAAAATCAGCCCAGAGAGGCTGAAAACAACCCAAGGGTGAAATTTAAGTGAATGAGACCTGAAGTCTCAAGCCAAAAAGACTACAAAGGCTGCATCCGCTTGTCATTAAACCTCATTTTTGTTTGCTTACGCCATATTTAAGCATTCTTTCAGATGTCGAGTATAAATCAGATGCCGCATGGAACTATAAATAAACAGGTGTAAAGAGTACCTAAAAACCATACTTGAGTAAAAGACAGATACCTTACTGTAAAAATGACTCCATTACAAGTTACAAGTCACCAATTCCAATAAGACTTGAATTTTTTTCAATTTTTAAAAGAACTGAATTATTTTACTCATGCTGAATGTAGGCTCAAAGACCACCAAGAAAGGTTTTATTTCATAATACAGAATATAAATTGAACACTTCAATGATTCAAAACGGCAGAACAAAATAGATAAACAAAATAAAAAAATCTCAAACTCAAGTTTTCAAAAAAGGCACAAACAATTTAAAAAAATACAAAAAACTAGTAAAAAAAACTCAGAGCTGACTTTCATGTGATTCACCTCTCAGTCTCAAAGAGGGGCAAAACTTTTATTTTGAGTAGTTTTTCAATTGACTAGGATGTTTTCTCTGTATTAAAATTAAACAAAGAGGAGCAGTGTTATTTTTCAACTTAGCAAACTACATATAAATTCAATAATAAATACATCACAAATAGTCATGTCATGTCGCAGTGGTTTGTACCAAATCAGTAACTGTATTAAATTCACTAAATTCACATTAAATAGACTCTTACTTCAATGTGTTTTCTCAAATTTGGCGATACATTCTTAAAAGCACTTATTTTTGTGGTTCGTGGCAAACAAAGTAGACTCTGCATCCTGTAAGAGCCATTCTGCTTATCGCCAATTGAAAACTTTTCTTTCAGATAAGGGCATGGATGGTCATCAGTGCTGGCACTGCTTGATGTGCCGACTTCGGCTTCATCATTTGCTGCAGCCATGACGCTTATTGAACACCTGGTAGGCAAGCTGCTAATTCACGTTGACGTGATTTAGCTCATAAATAGCATACAGTGCCTTCAGCACCCTGCAGATGGCGATATCGCCTAGTCCGCCTAACAAATTAGCCGTGCTAGATAAAGATGCAGATTAGTCGCGCACAATCACAATGTAACGAGTAACAATAGGCATCCGTGCAAATAGTAAAGAGTACAGATATTCAATCAAAAATGTAGTAGAGAGTAAACGTTGCTTATATTTTTAATACTCAGTACAAGTGCAAAGTAGCCAAAACAGTAACAAAGTCCATTTACTTAAGTACAATACACCACTGTAAATAAAGGACGGATGTTTCTAACTCTTGTGTTTCTGTGTGTTTGCTGTTGTTCAGAAGCTCCAAACGCCTCCAATCTGAAGATCGTGCGGATGGACAGAACCGCCGGCTGCGTGACCGGAGGAGAAGAGGTTTATCTGCTCTGCGACAAAGTCCAGAAAGGTCAGGAAGCACTAATTCACCCCTCCTCATGTCTTATAATTCAGATTACAGCATTTGTCCCTTAACTCAAAAAAGCCCCGGCTTCACTAAAGCTCTAAAATAAAGCAGATCCCCAAATCTGTTTTCATGAAGAAACGAGCTGATCTTCATCTCACACTCAGTGAATGTTTGGATTTTGCCTCATCAGTGTGCAGTATTTCATCAGTGAACATCACTCCTTTCTCACTACAGTAAAGCAACATTAATATGTTAACTTCACTAATGAATATTAATGAAGGTGCACAATAGAGCGCGCTGATTGGTTTGAACCAAGCCTTACTCAGGCATTAATGCAGTGCACTCAGAGACGTAATACGGTACACTTAGGTACAGACGTCCAGTCTACACGCTAAGATCTCATGACCGTGACGCAGCTTTAAAAATTCGTTTCAAACCGGAAGTACGAATTTGCTCAAAATAACGCAAAAACAACCAATTTACACTTTTTTGTGAGATATAGGTGTCCTAATAGTGTTTTTAGCAGTGTGGGACACATATACCACTGAAAACAGCTCAGCACATGTGTTTTGGTGTTTCATGACCCTTTAATGAGCACAGAGAGTCAGGAGCTCAGTTTAACCGTCTCATCTGAAAGATGACTCTCACTGACAGTACAGTATCCTCTTCACTATACTGGGGCATTAGACGAGGGGTGTCAAAATGAATCGTTTCTTTGATGCCAACACGGAAAATTCAGTATCGGTTCAGTAATGATCATAACCGGTTAGTACATACTGATGTCATTTATCTCATATGCGCTATATTGTGATAACTCGTGAGGAAGGCGAGTGCAAGTAATTAAAACACTGCAACTACTTAATAACACAGAAACTCTGCACAATCCCCGGTGTGTGTGTGTGTGTGTGTGTGTGTGTTTGCTGGACAGTCTTTCACTGACACTGAAGTTACAGCAGACGCCCCTGTTTCACTGCTGGAGGAAATGAAAGTAAACTCTATTTCTCTCTCTTTCACTGTGGCTCACTTGACCTGCTGGCATGAGGTAACTTCTCCTCTCCTCTTAGCTGTTACCGCGGTACTTCTGGATACAGACACGGTAGCGTGTCTGCAGAGTTTCCTCCACCCTGTCTATCATAGATCATCTGTGATCGTCACTGCCGCTTATCAGTGTCACGCATCGGTGAGCATCGCCAGAGCGTAAGAGCCAATTGCAGCCCTTTCTGTTGAGCGCGTGACCAATCGGAGGGGAGTAAGAACTCTCATCAACGCTCAGAAAGCGAGCAGGACATTCATATTTTACTTTATTTGCTATAAATGCTCATGTTGTTCTGTGCTTGTCCTTGAGTTTTTAAAGGTACAGTTTATACATCTGACTGCTTGTATTAAAGGACAAAATTGTATTTCAAATATTATATATATTTATAAATGTTAACACAAGAATTGGTAATGTAAGAAGTAAATTATAAACTTATGTATGGAAAGCATCGTCAACGCAGATAGTGGATTGAATTCAATCGATAGCATGATAATTGTGAGACCAGTGTAGGTTCATTCATTCATTTTCTTGTCGGCTTAGTCCGTTTATTAATCCGGGGTCACCACAGCGGAATGAACCGCCAACTTATCCAGCACGTTTTTACGCAGCATATGCCCTTCTAGCCGCAACCCATCTCTGGGAAACATCCACACACACACACTCATACACTATGGACAATTTAGCCTACCCAATTGACCTGTACCGCATGTGTTTTGACTGTGGGGGAAACCGGAGTACCTGGAGGAAACCATGCAAACTCAACACAGAAACGCCACCTGAGCCGAGGCTTCCCGACCCAGCGACCTCCTTGCTGCGAGACGACAGCACTACCTACTATACCACTGTGTCGCCCACCAGTGTAGGTTCACACCTCTAATTTCTAATTAGGAGTCACACAGCTGCAAGTTGAGCGCCTCCTGCTGGCCTCACACCACTTCCCACAGCTGCCTGGTTTCCCCATGTGGTCTCCAGACACGGACCAGGCTCAGCTCTGCTTAGCTTCAGTGAGGGAGCGCTCTTGGGCTGTAGAGTGATCTGTCTGTGAAAAGAAAAAAGAAAAGGAAAAATGAAAACGAAAGGAAAAAAAAGAAAAGAAACCTTAAAAGAAAAGAACAAGTAGAAAAAGAAAAGGAAAATGAAGAGCGCTGATATAATGCAGCGCCTTTGAATAGGTCGATCACTGGCTAGCAGTGCTGAGTGTTAATGTTATATCCTAATCTCAATCTGACGAGAGACAGAAATATCTGTAGTTGTTTTATTGTATTATCATATTTAAAAAGAAAAAAGGAGAAGAAAAGAAATAAAAAAGAAAAAAAAATTAAATGAAAAGAAAATGTAGAAAAATGAAAGTACATTAAAGAAAAAGAAAAAAAGAAAAGAAAATTGAAAAGAAATGAAAAGGAAGAGCACTGATATTATGCAGTGCGTATAAATAGTCCCTAGTTAGGTCACTAGCTAACAGTGCTGAGTGATAATGTGATATCCTAATCTCAATCTGACGAGAGGCAGAAATATCTATAATTGTTTAATTGTATTATCATATTTATTTTCATGAGGGATCATTTGCATAATCATGACCATTGACGCATATGGGGCCCTATCATACACCCGGCGCAATGTGGCGCAAGGCGCGGCGCAGTAGTCTTTTGGTAGTTTCAGCTTGGCGCAAGAGTGGTTTTGAGGCGTTGCGCTACGCTGTTTAAACAGCAAATGCATTAGCGCTTATTTGTGCGCTCATAGGCGTTCTGCTCTAAAAAGGAGGTGTTCTGAGGCGGACCGCTGGCGCGTTGCTATTTTGAGAAACTATAATAGATTTTTCATTAGACCAAAACAAACCCGGTCTAAACTCCAGCGCAGAGTTGCTCCTCGCTTACACACTGCTTAATACACACAAGAGAACAATAGGCAAATATCTTTACATATGATAACATTTAAATATTAAGGGTAAATATAGGATATAATAAGAATAGATATAGAATATAAATATAAAGGATTAAAATATTACAAAACATATTATTTTCTAGCCTACATAAATATGAAAAACCACTGCTTTTATGTCTTCTTCATCTCAGGAGGCTTTTTCAGTTCATTCATAACAATTTGCTTTTGTATAATGTTATTATTATTAGCAGTATTTTTTATTATATCCATATTTATATTTGTTTTATTAAAAACCAGCTTAGATTTGCCCACCTGTCAGATTTTAGACCATATGGGGCACAGCATGTGTTTTAGGATATAACTCAGGGTTTTGAGCACACGTCATTATTATTGTTCATTTATTCGTTTGCTGGAAATTAGAACTGAATTTAGAAAAAGTTTTGAAACAAATATTTGCGCTTAACAAACTAAATTAATTATTTATAGACTAATTGATGTCTGTGCGTAAAGGTTTCCCTATTCAAGAGCGAATGTGATCCATTATCTCTCATTCTCACGCAGTAGATGCTCTGTTTAACAGTTTTCTGTGAACTGTTTGCTTGTGAAATGCTCAGTTTTTCCACTTAGACTTACTTTGCGTCCTGTAAATAGTGAATGTGCTCTTGGCGTGACGCGGCTGACTCTTAAAGGGAATGGGAGATGAGACTCTGATTGGGTTATTCTCTAAACACACCTATAACTCATTAAGAAAATAAACTCAACCCTTTTAGACCATGAGCCACGGCGCAAAGCGGATTTTCCCGTCCTTAAATTAGCAAAAATGCGTTCTGACACGTCCTGAAAGCGTTTGCGCCCTGCGTTTTGCGCTCTGCGCATGGACCGTCAAAATAGAGCCCATGATATCTAGAACACTTAATTTGATTAACCAAGAACACATTTTACTGATAATAAGTGATGAAGTATCAGTAAAGATTTCTGTTTTACTAGATTTCTGAATTACTCTCCTCACATAGACATGTGCATCTGAAGAGCAGCGAAAGCTTAAATAAGAAATAGTATTAAGTAAAAATAATATAGCTTTTTTCCTGAGCGTAGTTCATTCATTCATTCATTTTCCTTCAGCTTATTTCCTTATTTATCAGGGGTTGCTTCAGCGGAATGAACCGCCAACTATGAAAAAGGAATCGAAAAGGGAAAAAAGAAAGAAATGAAAAAGGAAAAGGAAAATGAATTTGAAAAAGTTGTGTATTTAAATGTATCTTTGCTGTTTTCCCTGAGTGTAGTTTTCACACTAAAGCCGGTCCGCCTGCTGGAGGAAGTGCAGATTTCCAGCTGTAGGGATTTCCCCTCACACTCATGCAAAGCAGAAGAAAGTTGACCAGACGTCAGTTTTACTACGTTTCACTTCTCTTACATCATTCTGTCCATCCTTCGCTTATGTCTCAAACCAAGGAGGGTTTCTAGAGAAAGTATATTTAAAAAAATTATAATTAAAACTGCTGTGGTCAATATTATTAACCCCCCTACGATTTGGTTTTCTTTAACTGTCTACAGAGCAAACCACTGAGTACATTTACATGAACACAATAATCGTCAAAATGAACACTGGATCATCAATATAGAGCCCAATATATCTGTTTATTTATTATTATTATAATATTAGACTAGATATTCTTCAAGACACTAGTGTTCAGCTTAAAGTGACATGTAAAGGCTTTACTAGGGTAATTAGGGTAAAGTTAGGGTAATTAGGCAAGTCATTGTATAACAGTGGTTTGTTCTGGAGACAATCCAACACTAATATTGCTGAAGGGGCGAATAATATTGAATATAATATTTTAATATTAGATTAAAATGGCTTTAAAACAAGTAAGAACTGCTTTTATTTTAGCCCAAATAAAACTAATCAGACTTTCTCCAGAAGAACAAATATTAGAGGAAATACTGTGAGACATTCCTGAATCTGTTCAACATCATTTGGGAAATATTTGACAGATAAAATAGGTAAACAGTGTTTTTTTCATGAGGAACTGAGCTCAGTTTTCAGTGTGATGACGGGATATTCAAATGCTGGTGTGTTTGCGTGACTGCAGTTATTTCCTCTTATTTTCCCTTGCTGCTTCGCAGTAATTTCTGCTGTTTTATTAATATGACGTCATTGTTTGTTTGATTTCTGACAGATGACATTCAGGTGCGCTTTTATGAAGATGACGATTCAGGCTGGGAGGCGTATGGGGATTTCTCTCCCACAGATGTGCACAGACAGGTCAGACTGTTTCCTCATGAGTATTTATTTACCTGAGGTCTCTGGGGCAATGACATGATTGGATGCTTCGAAGCTGAATTTATGCATTTAGAAATATACAGTCTGGCATTCGTGATGCAATTTTTTTAATTGCTGTTTGTTTTTTACACATTATTTCAGGATTTTATAAACAAATGTAGTCAAAGCTGAATTTAAAGGCATTTTTAAAAGTAAAAGAAACATTTTTACGGTTGTCAGTGTTGAAAGTTATGATGGGAAATTCAAAATGGATATTTCATACGGTCACTTTACCTCAGTTTATTTCCAGGATTGAAATAATATATCATATATCACATCATGTATCATATCATATATTGTATATCATATATCATGTCATAAATCATATATCATGTCAAATATTATATATCATGTCATATATCATATCATATATCATGTATCATATCATATATATCATTTATCATATCATATATCATGTCATATATCATATAATTTATCATATATCATGTCATATATCATATATCATATCATATATTATATCATATATCATGTATTATTATATATCATTTATCATATCATATATCGTATATCATGTCATAAATCATATATCATGTCATAGATCATATCATATATCATGTCATAAATTATATATCATGTCATATATCATATATCATGTCAAATATTATATATCATGTCATATATCATATATCATATCATATATGATATATCATATCATGTATCATATCATATTATCATGTATCATATCATATATCATGTCATAAATCATTTATCATATATCATGTCATATCATATATCATATAATTTATCATATCATATATTATATCATGTATCATGTCATATGTCATATTTCATATCATGTATCAAATATATCATATATCAGATCCTATATCATATATCATGTATCAAATATCATATATAATATAATATCATATATACTGTATCATATATCATATAATTTATCATATCATGTCATATATCACATATCATGTATCATATCATGTATCATCTATAATGTCATAATTTTTTAATCAAATTTTGTATCATATCATATATCATACATCATCATATTTCACGTATCAAATATCATCTATCATATCATATATATCATATATCATTTATCGTCATATATCATGTCATATATCATGTATCGTGTCATGCATCACATATCATCACGGCATATAATAAATATTGTATCATGTATCATATATCACATCATTTCCAAAATCATGTATCATATTTCATATATTATATCATGTATCATGTCATATCATATATCATATCATATCTTATTAAAATAATTATTTTTTGTTTTGTTTTTGTAGTTTAATATTAATAAAAATGAAGTTAGTCTATAATAATAACTGCGTATGATATAATGCATATGGACAAAAATAACACTGTTGCATGTTGCAATGGATTCTTCCTGGAAAAAAATATGAATTATTCAATAAAATGTTGGTTATATAATGAGTGTGAATGGCTGTGATTTTACAGTGTTACTATTATTCTTTGTCTTCTAATTGTTGTTCATCTTCCTGTTATTATTAATATCAGTATTCATGTTGTTGTTGTTGTTGTTAGTTGTAGTAACAGTCGTAGTATTAATATTATTGTTAATATTAATGTTATTATTCATATGAATATTGAATAATCCACCTGTTCTTCCTCTCCCTCAGTTTGCCATCGTCTTCAAGACTCCTAAATATCGAGACCTGAACCTCCAGAAGCCCATCTCTGTGTTCGTGCAGCTGAAGAGGAAATCCGACAACGAGACGAGCGAACCAAAGCCCTTCACCTACCATCCACAGATCATCGGTACAGTCTACTTCCATAAGGACAAATACAGATGACCAAAACATCATTTGCTTATTTTACTCATACTGATTTCATCACTTATAATGTCCAAGGCATTGATATTAAAGGGCCATGAAACCCGCTCGCTTCAGCAGGGTGTTTTACACCTCTACTCTGGGAAAAGTCAGAAAAGTGGGCGTGTCATATATTATTTTTTCAGTTTGTGCTATTCAACAAGCTTTTTAACTCAATACTTTTGGCATTGATTTTGTCCCATAGTACCCACGCCCTCTTCCTCAATGCAGTGAAGCCACAGTTATATACTCTCGTACTGACCCTTTGTGGCCAATCGCCAATATACTATGTATGGCTCCTACAAAGCCTGATAGCACGCTCATTATATTGCACATTATATTAAATGAGTTTGACACTCTTCTAAAGCAGCGTCTGTCTGTTTTCTAGATAAAGAAGAAGTGCAGAGGAAGAGACAGAAGACCCTGCCTAACTTCCAGGACTACAGCGGAGCAGGAGGCGGAGCCGGGGGCATGTTTAGAGGAGGAGGGGGCGGGTCTACAGCAGGGGGCGGGCCCAGCGGAGGAGGAGGAGGAGGCGGAGGTACATTTCACTTCATATATGCATCCCAAATCACATTGTTATACACCATTCTACACCATTTTGTAGTATACTAAGTACAAAATAAGTACACTTTAAAGGGCACCTATTATGCAAAAATCACTTATTATGCAAAAATCACTTATTATGCAAAAATCACTTTAATAAGAAGTTTAAACTCAGTGTGTGCATATCTCCAGCCTCTAGTGGTGAACATAAATTAATTGCATTTATTATAATCAGACTTGATGCAGAAACATTTTTGATTGACATTCTCCCTATGTACGTGTCAGAGGGGGAAGCCCCGCCCACTAGTGCCCATCTCTCCCTCATTAGCATAAATGGAGTGATAAGCAGTGTTCAATATCTTCTTCTGTAGAGCTTTGGGTTTACAGAACAGTGCATTACATGTAAATGCATTAATATTATAGTGTACAAGTGCATAGTGTACACTAGTGCATATTGTAATGCGTGTCATTTGGGAGGCAGCTATAGATTGTTGGAGCTTTACATATTCTTTTAGGGTAAATATGTCATGTTGTTTATCTTATAGGGCATTTCTTTCATGGGTATCAAAACTTTAATAATTTTGGGAGTGGATACAGCTTCTCCTCGGCCATGGGAGGAGGCGGGACCAACATCAAGCATGGTGAGAGTTTGAGCTGTCAATCATTGTGTTGAGAATTTTGTGATTAAAACATTGAGTCTGCGGGTTTATGCAGAATGTTTAGATCATAGGAGCTGGAAACTTATTTAAGGCTCGTCAGAAATGCCTTTTTTTCTTTTCTTTTTTTCTGCATTAAGCACACCAAGAGCCGGTTGAAGACAGCGAAGGTGAAGATGATGATGATGATGATGATGATCCCGCAGCAGGAGGTGTTGTGCAGCTCTCAGATCATCCGGGATTTACTGGAGTAAAAGCAGAAGATCTGCACGCCTCAGGTTTGACTTTCAGTGTAAACAGTGCAGATGAGTCTGTGCAGGAGGTCAGACGATGCCCATTTATTTATATCGTTCATGTCAGAAACTGCTATTAACATTCATAAATACTGACAAAAGGAAACAATACAGCCTGAAATATTGACGTAGAATGTCTGAAATTGTATTTATGAACATTAATAATATAATGAATGCAATATAAAGGGTTATTGCAGAAACATTGGCCATATTTGATTGATTGATTGATTGATTGATTGATTGATTGATTGATTGATTTGATTTGATTGATTGATTGATTGATTTGATTTGATTTGATTGATTGATTGATTGATTGATTGATTGATTGATTGATTGATTGATTGATTGATTGATTGATTGATTGATTTGATTTGATTGATTTGATTAACTGATTGGTTTTTGGAGGTGGAAAATAGCAGTTTTCTTTTTTAAAGTCAATGTATTGTGCTTTTCCTCGTCAAATAAAGATTTTGGATGCACAAATACAATATATATACATATAATAAATACAGTGTGAATAAATCTAATATTTAAGCTGCAGTCATGAGCATACAGACAACATGTACAAGCAGCATCTTCTGGCCTCTTTAAAGGGGTAGTTCACCAAAAAAGGACATTTACTTGCTATTTACTCTCTCTTAAGTGGTTTCAAACCTTTGAGTATGTTTTAGACTGTTCAACACAAAAAAAATATTTTGAACAATGTCAGAAATCGGGTAACCTTTGACTTCCATATAAGGAAAAACAAATACATGGAAGTCAATGGTTACCGGTTTTTAACATACTAAAGATGTTTCGAAGAATGTTAGACAATGGTAACCATTGAGTTCCATTGTAGGAAAAAAAATACATGGAAGGCAATGGTTACCGGTTTCCAAAATACAAAAGAAGATATTTTGAAGAATGTTAGACAATGGTAATCATCGACTTCCATAGTAGGAAAAACAAATACATGGAAGGCAATGGTTACCGGTTTTAAACATACAAAAGAAGATATTTTGAAGAATGTTAGATACCGGTAACTATTGACTTCCATAGTAACAAATACAATGTTAGTCAAGGGTTACTGGTTTCCAACATACATACAAAGATATTTTGAAGAATGTTAAAAACATGTAATTACTGACTTCCATTGTATTTGCTTTTACATCAATGGAAGTCAATGGTTACATGTTTCCAACATACAAAAAATATATTTTGAAAAATGTTAGAAATGTGTAACTACTGATTTCCATAGTAGGAAAAACAAATACATGGAAGTCAATGGTTACCGGTTTCCAACATACAAAAAAAGGTATTTTGAAGAATGTAAGAAACCTGTAACTATTGACTTCCATAGTCAGAAAAACAAATACAGTGGAAGTCAATGGTTACCAGTTTCTAACATACAAAAGAAGATATTTTGAAGAATGTAAGAAAGTCAGTAGTTACCGGTTTTCAACATTCCTTAAAATATCTTCTTTCTGTATTCTTCTTCCTTGTTTCTGTGTTCAACTGAAGACAGAAACTCCTAAAGGTTTAAAACCACTTGAAGGAGACAAAATGAGGACAGAATATTCAGTTTTGCGTGAACAAACCCTCCTCCAGTATTTTCAGTATCATTTGTTGAGTTTCATCATTAGTTTGTGGTGTGTGTGTAAATGTGTGTGTGTGTGTGTGTGTGTGTGTGTTCTCTTTTTTCAGGAAGTGTGTTAGCGCCTCATTTAGCTGAACTAGCGAGTCGACAGGCTGAAGCGCTCTTTCATTACGCAGTAACGGGTGACGCTCGACTGCTGCTGGCTCCACAGCGCCCCCTCATGACCACTCAGGATGAGGACGGAGACACGTAAGTCAGCTAACACTGCTCTTACAGTTCACCACTTAATTATTAGCCCTCCTGTGACATTTTAATGAAGTGCGCATTGATTACAGCATATACATTAATTACAGACAATATATCAAATTAGTAGTACTGGGCAAAGATTAATCATGATACTCTACTATACTGTACTCTGTTAAACTATACTAAACTATACCAAATAATACTTTACTATACTAACCTACACTTGAATTAACTAAATTATACTATGACAAACTATACTATATACAATACTGAACTATACCATGCTGAACTATACGATACTACACCATACTATGCTAAATTATACTAGACTATACTAAACTATACTGCACTATACTAAACTGTACTATACTGTATTTTACTACACTAAACTCTACTATACTAGACTGTACTACACTATGCTAAAATATACTATACTGTAGTATACTACATTAAACTACTATACTACACAATACTAAACTGTACTCTAATATACTATACTCAACTATACTGTACTATACCACACTGTACTACACTATGCTAAAATATACTATACTGTACTATACTATATTGAACTACTATACTACACTATACTAAACTGTACTCTAATATACTATACTTAACTGTACTGCACTATACTATGCTTAACTATACTGTACTATACTACACTTTACTATACTATAATAAACTAGTGTACCATACTACATTATACTGTACAACGCTATACTAAACTATACTGTACTACACTACACTGTACTATACTATAATAAACTACTGTACTATACTAAATTATACTATACAACGCTATACTAAACTATACTGTACTATATTAAACCATATTATACCAAAGCATACTATACACTATACTAAACTGTACTGTACTATACTAT